GAAAACACTTGTAAGTGACCGGGACACTAGGTTCATAAGTGCAGATTGGAAGGACTTCACCTCCCAGATCTATGACATCAAACTCAAGATGACGTTTGGTCGACATCCCGAAGCCAATGGACTGGCTGAGGAGATCAACCAGACTGTGATCCAACTTCCCCGAGCTCTAATTGTGCCTGATCAGAACTCTTGGGATGAGGAATTGCCGATTGTGCAGGGGTTGTACAACTCCATGCAATCCTCCACCGGGATGACACCTAACCGACTGCACCTTGGATGGAAAATCGCAATCCCCTATCTTATCTGTTTCCTGAACAGCCACCTGGCCTAACACCTGGCCAGCCAGGCTACAACGCTAAGTTTGATCGTTTGCTCAAAGTTGCTGTCGCAGCCATGGAAAGGCGACGCAACAAAAAGCGCCAGCCTGACCCTTTCACAGTGGGAAGTTATGTCTGGGTCAAGATGTCTGAGAGAGGAAGAGGAAGGGTGGCCATGGCTATGGTGGACCTCATGATTGTGCCTGCAGTAGAAGTGGGATTCGGACATTGATTCTGGTTTAGTCATTCAACATTATTATTATTATTTCTTGTTTGAATAAGAGGGGAGGAGATAAGGAGGAGGAGATTGGTTGGCGAAGAAGAAGAGCCTTGTTATTGGCCCATGCTGGAGTCCGTGGAAGGTGCTGAACCGAGTAGGAGATGATTCCTTTGGTCCTTCTTACACAATCGATGTGCCTCCTGACCTACGTACGTACCCAGTCTTTCATGCATCAAAGTTGTTTCCGTATGAATCACCCGAAACTTTTAAGTATCGAGAGTCGATGATTCCTCGTGCAATCAGAGGCGGTCACGAGGTTGACAGAATTGTCGAGCACAGCGGAAAGGGGAGAAACCGATAGTACAAAGTTCATTTTATGTACCACCCGTTGAATGGATTTTATTGGATCGCTAAGAAAGACTTGCTGCAGTCCTTCGGGACATCCATTAAAATTGGAACGATACAGAGAAGATTAGCATGGCCCCTGCGCAAGGATGACACGCATAAATTGAGAAATGGTCCAAATTTTTGTATAACTGCCAATCCTGATCCCCTTTCAAGAACTGGCATAAAAAAAAAAAAAAAAGAAAGACTTGCTGCAGAGTGCGCCGCGAGTCGTCAACGCATATGAACGACTGATTAGCTCCGAACAGCAACCTAAATTCACTGCTACCCTCACTCCTATGGAACATACCCGATCTCTCTTTGCTATTTACGCTTATGATGCATTATGCAAGGACTCTGATTGAGTTACTCGCTCGAAGGTACCTCGCTCTTGAGGGGGGAGTAGTGTAATGACCCGCAATAACACAGACTGAGAACACTGCTGATTTCTGAAGTTTCTGTCGATGGACTGGATGCCTTGCTGAGATTCCCGCATTCTGCTGTGTTTTCTAAGTCTGTATGTGTGCATGCCTGTTGACTTGCGTGCCTGTCTGAGTGCTTGTCGGCATGAGTGTGTGTGTGACCCGCAAGGGTACTTGCTTGCTTGGCAGGCCCGTAGGGCCGGTACTTACCTGTGGCCGTAGCATTGAGGGTTGCAGCAGGGGAAACACTCAAGTGGCGGAGCCAGAGGCCCTCGGCACTTAGAGCAGCCGAAAAACACTCAAGTAGCAGATAGGCCGGTACCGCACCCAGTAGCAGTAGATGTGCCGGGTACTCGAGGCCGAGCAGAAGAAGACAAAGTTGACATTTTTAGAGGCCCAATAGCGGTAGGCTAGGTATAGGCCGGTACCAGTCTATCCAGTCTGAGTCTAGAGCCTGTACGGGCAATACCAGAGACTGCAATGATGTTTCCGTCCGAAAGGGAGGAGGTACCGGTTGCTTGGGAGGCCGAGCGGCCTGGAAGTCACTGCCCAGGAGGCAAGC